TATACAATAAGAAAAAATATCAAGTATAAAAATTAGAACTACAACCAGAATAAACAATATCAAGCAAGAAACATGTGATAAATTTTTCAATAATAATCCTACCCTAAGGAATCTAAATCTTGTATTATAAATAATTTGGCCAAGTCACAAGAGAAAAGTAACTATGACTATCTAGCCTTAAAACACATCGAAGACCTGAGAAGAGAAATAATATTACTTGAGTAAGCAGGAAGTGCAATCAAGCAGCTTCCAAAATGTGCAACAAATGACAGAGACAACTGGCAACCTGGGCAATAACCCAAAGTCTCATTTACAATGTTGGAACAACCAAGTTTGACTAATACCTAGAATAATTGACAGACCATATTCAGAAGCAGGAAATTTTTCAAAACTGTCTTTCCTTGTCTTGGCAGAATTTGACAATCTTTTTTCTTGTATCCTGTCTGTCCTGATCAGACATGGTGCATTTTGTCAGTGGTCGAGGCATGGGCAGTTCCTTCCACAAAGGACAGTTTTGCCAAGAAGAAAACAAGGTCCAAGTAATGTTTGATGAACCAAGATCCTCAAAATATCACCATGAACACTTTGCCCAACAAAAAGCAGGAAGTAATTTGGAGAGAACTATGCCCAAATTCCCAAATATTGTTTATAAATGTTTGTTTACATTTAAAAGTAAATGTGCTATAGAGATATTATGGATCTTGGTTTATTCATATAAATTTAAGGTATATATATATATATACATACATATATATACATATATATATTTCTGGTCTTGATTAGGTATTGTGTTTGCTTGAAAAAAAGAAAATGAAAGGTATTGTGTTTGTGCAGTTCATTTGAAAATGTAATGTATAATTAAGAAGCATAGGGTAATAGATAATTATCTATAATAGTCAAACTTGTAATCATGTTAGTTCGGTTTGTCTAGAGATATGTTTCAGTTAAATAGGTATTCTTCAAACCTTACAAAGATTCAGAATATGGCATTTAAGATATTTTACAAACTTAGGACTTTTCATGACACTGAGACACATCTGCTCCTGGCAGAACCAATAACTTCAAGAGGAAAATGGGCACCAAAGAGACTCCTCATGGAGTTTGTTAGCCATTTGGTCAAGAAACTGCTCTTGTCCAGACCACTTGATTGGACTTGCAGGACCCACAGAGAAATTGACAGCTGAACTTGCCTAAAGGTGAGGCAGTCCTTCGGGGTTCCTGCTTCATGAAAGGGACTGCTAGACATTCTGCAGGACACAGAAAAAAAAGTGACTGATAAACTGCCAATATAGGCAGAACTGTCTTTGAAATTTCCTGCTTCATGGAAGTCTGCGACATACTATGGGCCTGTAGGCTGAAGATGGATGCCTCAATGTTACAGAAGAATTTTGGGTGACTGTCTAGACAGCAAGATGTCTCTGTCAATTCTAGAGTTTTAGAAGTTGCTTACAATACACTTCCTGTTTACTTAGGTAATATACCCTTCTGGAGTCATTGATGGAGTTGAATAATAAATACTTATAATTATAATTTTTCTTAGTTATGATAAAAGATAAACTAGATATAAATATTATAACTGTAATTCTTGCTTGATACCTTTTTGTTATATGTATTTTTTCTGTGTTAAATTTAAAACCTTTCTTTTTATTTAAACAAAAGAGGGGTGGTGATTTGGGATTCCCCTCTGTGTGCTATGAATACCATTGTTTAATAAAGAAACTGCTTTGAGCCTATAGCAGGTTAGAGCAGAGGTAGGCAGAGAAAAGAAAACTGAATGCTGGGAGAAAGTAGGCAGAGTTAAAAAGACACCACATAGCTGCTGTTGGGGACAGATGAGTCAGAAATATGCTGGTAAGCCACAGTCACATGGTGATACACAGATTAATAGAAATGGGTTAAATTAAGATGTAAGAGCTAGCCAATAAGAAGCTAGAGCTAATAGGCCCAAAATTAATTTAATTAATATAGTTTCTGTGTGGTTATTTTGAGTCTGGGCATCTGGAAATAAATGAGTGAGCTCCAATGATAGACCTGCATTTGAAACCTGAATGTAGGTAAATTTCTATGAAGTTTATACAATTATTCTGAGAATTATTCTTTCTTAAAACTAAAATTTAAAAACTAGAGTCTTTTCAGAATTCAGAGCTTCAATGAAACTAAAATTTTTATGGCATTTAAATTACATCAGGTAGAATATTCAATTATTATTTTATGACACACAAGACCTTCACAGTATTAGGCATTAGTAGGACCACCAAAGGATTGCAAAAATGGGAGGAAATTATTCTATACGTAACAGACAACTTATGCTTCACAGAGAATTGGATATTATATACAGCCATACATAGAACATAAATTCAGAGGATGGAGAATTGGATCAGATCTTATGAGCACTTGTTCTTATAGAGAACATGGGTTTGATTCCCATCACCCACCTGGTGGGTTCCAACTATCTGTAACACCAGCTGTAGGGGATCTGACACACTTTTCTGATTTCCATGGGTGCCAAGTTGCATGTGGTACACAGCCACACATGTAGGCAAACACTCATACACATTAAATGATAAATTTAAAATAAAATATAATTTTATTTTGTCTTGCTGAATTTCAAAGCTCCAACACTAGCAGGTTCAGTGACCAAGGAGTGATATAATAAATAAATGATGTGAAAATGATTCCTAAGATAAACACAGAAATGAAAGTATGTTGTGGCTAAGAAACGTTTTCTGTTGTGAATATTTATTTCATTTGAAATAATACTAAACACTTCCCATTTTCATAACTTCTTTCCTTCCTCAATTTGCTCAGTATTTATTAGGTACTCACTGGGCTAGGTGCACAAATACACTGAGGAATAAAGGGCAGGTGTTCCGAGCCTGAGCACCCAGAGAGAGAGATAAATTAAGAATGTTCTTGGCCCTTTGTGAATATAACAGGGGAGCTTGTTTAAGATGAGAGCCCAGAGAGAGCTCTTTAAGAAATGAGGATTTGAGTTCAATCTGACTGTTCAGTTGTTACTAAGAAGAGCATAAAACTGTTGGCAGGGTGGAATTTAGGAAATCTGCTGCTGAGGTTAAAGTACGAGTGAAATTCAGGAAGCACAAACTATTTTAAGCTTCATCCACAAAACGTGTAAATCAGACGTAAGTCCTACAGAATGGAAAAGAAAATATATCAGAAATAGAACCAAGAATTTCAAATTCTGTCAATGACTCTAAAAGGCATCCACCTTTCTGCCAGTCATGTGACACACTCCTTTAATCCTAGCACTCAGGTAGTAGAGATAAGTAGATCTACAAGTTCAGGTAAGCTTGGTCTACATAGTGAATTCCAGGCCAATTAGGAATTCAAAGATCAAACACACACTATTAAATTGAGTGTGTGTTTATATTTGTGATTACTGAAGATAAATCATGTTGGCTTATTGATGGAGGAAGGTCATCTGTCTATTGTGTTACTTTCATTGGTTAATAAAGAAACTGCTTTGTCCTGATAGGTCAGAACATAGGTAGGTGGAGTAAACAGAACAGAATGCTGGGAAGAGGGCAATGAGACAGACACCATGGAACCAGCCACGAGGTCAGACATGCTGAATCTTTCCTGGTAAGCCACCACCTTGTGGTGCTACACAGATTATTAAAAATGGGTTAATCAAGATGTGAGAGTTAGCCAGTAACTAACTCTCTAGAGATAATGGGCCAGGCAGTGTTTAAAAAAATACAGTTTCCGTGTAATGATTTCGAGGGTAAGCTAGCTGGGATCCTGGCAGGAAGCGGCCTGCTCCTTCCTCCTACAGCTTATGCAACATAAGTTGGGCCACCCAGATAACTGAATTACAGGTTATCTCTATGTGTGTGTATTTACACAGTACTGAAACCAGTAGCATGTCTGATGGTCACCAGCTAATGAAAAGACAAGGGATGTGAATACTAACAGAAGACTTTTTCAGGAGTAAAGGCTAGAGGATGCCAGGAATCATAGTGTAAGGAAAGGTGCCAGATGTGCTTGAGTAGAAAAAAGCAGTAGGTGGTTTGAGCCAGCAGAGCACAGAGAATCACAGGCACATCAGATGCTGATGACACCACCATGTAGCATCCTGATGTATGAATCCAGAGTGACTAAACTTTCAGCATGTCAAGGTGATGATGCATCATATTAGACAAATATTGGTCGTTTCATTATTGCGTTTATACTTCTTTTCATTTTTGTCACAATATGTCTACAGCGTCCCAAGTCCTCTTGGAGATGCTTATACCTAGTTCCTTTTAAAATGATTTATATTTTTTAGTTAACATGCAAAATCATGGAGTTTATTATGATACTTTCACACATACGTCATGTTGAGCCTCATTAAACCCCTAATTTCTTTCTCTCGTTAGTTTTCCCTCTTCAAGAAATCTCTCATTCTTTAATGTCATTTTTATTAAAATTATTTTTCTGCCTTTCTCTCCCTCAAGAACTCCTGCTTCTCTTTTGTGGTCCCTTTTCTACTTTTGTGATACACACACAGACATAAAGTTGTGACAACTTCAACACTGGTCAAAAGTTTAAGTGAGGAGACTACTGAGATTAGGCAATATCTTAACTAAGCCCTTGTTTAAAAAATCCACAAAAATAAATGCAAAACACGAATTAACCAAAAGGAACTTTCTCTCCAATAGACAATGATAAAGAATTAGTATTCCTCTTTCAAAATGATTGAATGGAAACCAGAAAGATTGGACCAAAGAAAGACCTCTACCCAACAGATTAAACACCAAGTCCAACAATTCTACATCTGGCTTATCTAACCATATCCTAAGTTCAGCATGAAGTCATCTGGGCTCCAACGGCCCTGGGTAACCCCAGTCATTCATCTCTGCAGTCTGAACCCTCTATTTTGAAGGAGATACATTCCATTACTGCAGATTTCCTGACCACCTCACAGTCCTGGCATCTCTAATACCCTCGAAGAATTATCTTTGTCTTTAGCTTCCTAACTCAGTGCAATCACTTCTCAGGGCACCTTTGCAAGGAATATGACCCCACGACACATAAGGGAGGTACTGCTCACCTTGAATGATAAGGCTGGTGGTATTTAATATGCAGAGGAACATCAGGAATGGTCAGACATAAAGACTTGCAGAAATCGAGACAGAAAAGCTCTCCTAAGAATGGGACGAGGAAGTACCAACAACGTCTTTGTGCTCAAAGAATGGGTAAGTAGTGGTCCATTTTAATAAAACAGTCATTAAGAGTTGGGGAGGACACTCGCATAACATTATTCCTGGGAAAGAGACTTCGGGATACAAAATGCTCTGTGAAAGCTAACTCATCAGCTAATAGAAGCCTTAAGATGAGGGTCTGACTGAAAAGAGTATGGGGTCTCTTCCCTTGAATTGTATATTTGTTTGCTTTTTAGATGGAGTTGATCCTGTGAGGAGAAAGTGGAGTGTGAACGCATGTGCACTAAAGAACGGGTTCAGCAGCCACACTTCTCACTGCCCGTGTCTTTCGTGTCGCGTAGTTGCCTGACTCTAACACAATTCGGCAAATAATGATAAAAGCCACACAGTGGTGAACTGACTCTCCAGTGTGCACCCGTCCTTTTTCATCAAGGACACATTATTAACACATTTCATTTTTTAAATTATCTTTTCCAGGGGCTGTTCATTTTTAGAGAAAGGCTCTGAGTACACACATGGAGTTGAGCAACACTTTTTCTTGAAGAAATGGCTGGCAAGATAAATGACACATCATTTCATAAAATAAAGTAACGAAGCATCTGAGCGGTTTGAACATTTGCTATAAAATTTGCAGCCCCGTAAGAAAACAGAGCACAGAATATGATTAAGGAATCTGGGTAAACATCCCGATGGGTGGGAACCATCGGGCATATTAATCGATCTGCCTCCCAGCTACCTTTCCATTTATCTGGTCTACCTTGACAGTCATTAGTGGCGGTTGCTTGTTAATATTGGAAGTCAGATTTCATGCTCAACAGTTGCTACACACGCAAGTTATAAACCGCACCGAGTATAACCAGATAAATGCTACTCAGAAAATTTCCACAGTCATAAATTAGGCGAGGGTTTAAAACGTAGAGTTTGTTAAATGGGTCCTGAGTGCGTAGCTTAGAGGTTTTGCTTTCTGGATCGCTCTGTGTGTGTACCTGTCGGCCACAGTTTTTGCTATCAGATGCTGTTGCCAGGGCAACTGCCTCCTTTGTACAGGCTTAGGGTAGCTGCTTCTTTTTGGAAATGGACTCTGGGCTGGTTGCCAGAATCCTGGTTCTTAAATTCAGGGCTCTGGTTTGGCATAATTAACCATTTAAGTGGTCTGAGGAAAAAAATACAGAGTGCAAAGGCTTCTTGAGATTTTCATTCTCAAAGGGAATTAAGGGCAATTATATTAAAAAAAATACATTGTCTTTTGCCGTGACATATACTGTGTTGATAGGGAATGGAAAGAAGATTGCTTTATTTATTCAGTAATTTAAAGGGGAGTAAAGCATTATTGATGTTTCCAAAAACAATTCATAAAGGTTATAGTTTAAGTCTCATTCCCTTATTCTAACTCACCACACAGGGAAAATCAATTCCCACTAATAAAAGACAAGAGAACTGTAATACATTCTATAGTTCTCTTATGTAGCAGAATTTACTGTTATAAGAAGAAACAGGTATCCTAGCTTACTCTCATTAAAATCATTCACAGAATCCACTTTCCATTATTGTTTGTTTTTTTCTGTATTTATTTCATTGACTTCTGCTCATTTAAAACTGAGAAGAAACTGTGCACCTTCTATTCTTAACTTTGGTATTTACTGCACATTTATTTATGAATCCATTTCTTTCATGTTTGAGTTTCAATGATTATTTTAATGAAAAGATAAATTGTTCATATTTTCATGAGGTCGGGATGTGAGATCAGTTTCTTGTACCTGCTTCTGTCTTTTCTGCCATGTAGAAATTTGTACCTTTATCTATGTTAGAATTCTTTAATAAAATTAAAGTCTTGCTTCCTAGAGATCTTGGCTGTAGACTTGTGCCTTTAAGAGACTTATTCAGTGGGCAGTTCTGAGAGCCCATATGACCTGTTCTTTGGGTTCATAGGGATGCAGACACCAGGACATTCTTTTTCTACAGCTTTATATCTGATGCCTAAATATAGGTGTAATCATGGAAGCCACCCCTTCCTAAACACATTACCAGACCTCCTACAATGGCTTGAGAACTTCCCTATGTGTATTGGTTACCTTTCTTGTTACTGGGATAACATACTGACAGCAAATTGAGGAAGGATTTATTTAAATCAATCTGGGAGCGGGGAGTCAATTCCTTATTACAGTAAATGCATGGTGGCCAGAGCTAAATCCATGGTAGCTAGAGTTTGGAGCAAGAAATGCTACATGTTGGCTTGTCATGAAGCAGGGAACTTGTGGCTATAATCCCTAAGCCCGACCTCTTTGGCTCCATGTCTGCCAGCTAGCCTGTCCACAAAGCTCCCAACTTTCCAAAACAGTGTCATCAGGTGTGAACAAAGGATTCATGTATCTGTATACTCCAGAGCCTGAGCAGGTACATTTCTCTTCTAAATGACAACAGGTCTGTCCAAAATGTTTTAAAGATGACTTTGTGGTCAGGAGCTCTTCATCTACAATCTGTCCTCTCCTTTCTCCATGGGTGTACAGTTTTCACACCTAGCCTTCTCTCCAATCAGTCTTCTATCGCATGCCTCCCTCCTCCTGACTCTAGTAAATCTCATATAAAACCTATTTAGCCTGTTGCTTAAACTAACACAGCAAATGCTTCCTTTCCCAGGCTAGCTGTTCTCAGCACAGCTGTTCCTCTAATATATATGTGGTGCTTTGCAAACATTTCTCTGCCGGGTTCTGGCTTCTCAGTGCACCTCTTTAGCAAGGTAGCCATGGAGAAAACCACTTTTCATGAGAGTCTGGATGTTGCACAGCTGCAGTTCCTCTCGATTCCTCTATGTGGAGCGCTCCATTTCCTGGATGCACTTCAGAATGACAGTGACATTCGGGAAAGTCTTGTCACTCTTTCGATTTACACTTGAGCACATAGGAAGCCAAATAACACAAATTCAAATACAATTTAAGGACGCGTCAGCATTCTTTCTCAAGACCTTTCTAATTTGAAACCACTGGGGTGTTCCCCAAGAACCGCTTACGCTATAAATCCTCCTCTTTTCTTCTACATAAACAACTAACAATATAGGCAGAGCTATTCACATCTGTCTCAGGTTTATTTCCCTTGAGCAATTCATGCCATTCATATACCCCCTCATTAAAGCAATCATTCCTAGTACTTCTTGCCACTTTGGGATCTCCTAAGAATGATACAATATTTATATCAGCTCTAATAATAAAAATGAATGGTCACAGCTGAGGAAAACTCACAAACAATAAGTGTTTAGATTAATCCGTCATTACATTTGAAAAGGTCATTAGCTCAATTGTAAATTCACAAAATTATATTGCCATTTGTAGAATGTTTCTAATGTATTATGAAATAAAGAGAATACATCTGAAAATATTTCCTTCTGCTGCAGAGTGGCAGTAACAATATATGAAACGCTTTTACCGTACATGGATGTTTAATACTCATTAGCTTCTATTAGAGCATACAATTGAAACTTGTCAACAAAGTTCAGATTTGGTGCTAGTGTGTATGCATGCAGTAAAAATTGAGTACTTTATGAGCAAGTCAAACTAACGGGCTTTATCTCGATGCTGCTGTCCACTTATAATATTTCAGCCCATTGTTTAGAAAACATTGAATTTGTGTTACACGATTCTCTGTTCCATTGTCTCCCATTGGTCTTTGAGATTTTGTAAGATGTGTTTTTCATAAAGGATTTTAGAATATGATACTTGGCTTTTTGGAAAATACTGGTTCAGTGAGTGGTGAACATCTTCTCATGTTGTCTGTTTCCTCACAGGGCATGAGAATCCACTCATGGACCCATCACCAGTCTAATCAGAAGAAAAGTACCAGTAAATGCCAAACATACAGTATTGGATACCAAATTTTCTAGAAAAAAATAAATTTTTCTTAGCAAGTCCTATCATTGACAACAAACACTGCTGGTAGATTTCTTTGGTGTCATCAATGCATTTTATTTCTCTTCTGCTAGGTGCACAGTATTGAAGCCCTGGTGTTAGCATGTTTGTCGTTGTAATATAAGGAAATTACTTCCCAGAGGTTTGGACCCTTTTCACTCCTTGTGATCTTGCCTGACTGGTTGAGTAACTGTGTCCTCCTCACCCCTCAGCATTTGGTATGGCCACTCTTATTCACTTGGGCATTTTACTAGAGGTGTAGAAGAATTGTCTTAAAGTTTTAATTTTCCTTTTACATATCACTGAAAAAATAGCCTTCTATGTGAATATTTTTGAAGTCACTGCTCAAATAGCTTATTTAAATAGACGTTTGTTATCTATTAAATTCTAGGTTACTTTTTATATTCTGGATACATTTTTTTAAATATAGAATGGTAAGTCGTCCATCTTGTGCACTGTCTCTCATAATACTTTTGGGTTTTTCCAGATAATTACATTTTCTGAGTTTGTGCAGAGCAGTAGGGTATAGTAGTGTCACCTATACTGACCTTAAAGTTGTGATCCTCTGCCTCAGTTTTATGAACACTGAGAAAAAAAAGCATGCACCATGTTGTCTAACTTTTTTAAAACAGTTTTTAAAATACACAGTTTTAAAAGTTGACACTAGTTTATCAACATTTGTGCTCATACATTTGTGCTGAATGTTTTCCTCAATATTGAAAAAAAATTGTCTTAAGATTTTCAGTGTATGTGCATGCATGTTTAGGGAATGCATCTGCATGTTTGTGTTGTATGTACACAAGCATAAGTGTGCATGGGAAGGCCAGAGTAGACATTTGATATCCACTATTATCATTTTCCATGTTATCGTTTTAGCAAAGGGTCTTTCACTGGACCTGGCTGTCAGGGATTGACTAGGCTTGTAGGACAATGCCTTCTAGTGATCCATGTAGCTCCGGTTCGCAGCACTATGGCTAGAGGGGCAGGCAATCATTCCATAATATTTTATACATAGACCCTCATATTTGTATGGTAGGGATTTTACAATTGAACCATCATCCCAGACCTTTGCCTGTGTTTTATTCTAGAAAATTCCAAGTTTTAACTTTCATACTTAGGGTTATGATATACTCTGAGTTGAGTTTTATGTATGTTGCATGAAATAAGGATTCAGGTTGTCTTTTCTCTACGTTAATCTACTTTTTTCTGGTGGCAGAAACCAGAAAGTGAAGAGGCCATGGGGAGGGAGTAGAGAAAGAGCTCTCCAGAGGAAGACAGAAGCACACAGGTGCTCTGAAGAAGGAACTGGGAAACATGGAGCAGGAACATTATCTGTAAAGGAGGAAGTGAGAGCAATACTGAGCAGGAGGAGAAGTCGAAAAAGCCATAAAGAAACATATTTTATGTTTATTTAAAAATTGCATATAATATATGTAAGTATAGTATATTAATATAAAATAACTAAATGAGATATGCCACTTGAGGCATAGATTATATGACAAAATCTCCACTGCCAAGCATGGGGAAACAACCTTCAAATTGTTCTTCAAGGGCATTCAAGAGACTCTGAAAAAAATATAGGCTATTCCAATGCCCTTGGTTGAATTCCAGAACTTGAAGGTGAAACCCTATTTCTAAAGACACCATACACTTCAGTCAAAGGATTTGGTGGAACCAAACTGAACTCAAACAGACCTGGAACACGGGACCAGTTTTCATACTACAGGAAGGGACTTTGAAAGTTCTAAAGGGAGATAAGCAGCTAAAAGTCCTACCCAATTGTGATGTCTAAGAACCACAGCCATGGCCAGCACAGCGGGTATTCCCAAGGCAAGCTCACAACCACTCATTTTTTTTTTTTTTTTTTGAGACAGGGTTTCTCTGTAGCTTTGGAGCTTATCCTGGAACTAGCTCTTGTAGACCAGGCTGGCCTCGAACTCACAGAGATCTCTCTGCCTCTTCCTCCCGAATGCTCGGATTAAAACTGATACACTCTTCTACCCTTAGTAGACCCTGCACTCACAAGGGCAAACCCTTTATATGACATGCATAAGTATACAAAATTACAACTAAAAAAAATAAAACTTGAAAAAGAATTTATGTCACCTGTGTTCTTTACTTTCTAATTATATTTTTGTTTGTGTTACAAGAGTGTAAGTTTCTGTGTAAGTTTTTCATAACTCTTTGATTAAGCCTTCCTGCAGTCCGTCATTACCCTGTATTCCACCACTTTCCATGTTTTAATCTTAGCTCCTCTAACATTCCCCACTTTCTACTTTGACTTTACCTATATTTCGCTCTTTTCCTTTCCATAATGAGTCTGTCCCCAATTACCTGGTTTTCACATTTGCTCCACGTCAAACATTAAAATAAGACACTCCAGCTAGGACCCTCCCACGACAGAGAACAAGCATCTTTTATTTCTCTGAGCCAGGGGAACCTCACTCAGTATAATCTTTTCAGGTCATCCATTTATCTGAAAATTTCGTGATATCATTTTCATTTATAGCCAAGTAACATTCCACTTTGTATGTGTAATAGATTTTCATTATCTATTTGTCAGTGGATAGACATCTAGGCTGGTTCCTTTTCATAGCTATTGTGAATGTAGACGTCAATGGTCAGCCATAGATAAGTCATCTATACCAACTTCCCTCAATCCAGGGCTCAGGGAATATCACACAATAGTGGGTGAGAAGAAGGCAAGAGCTGGGTGACTGAGAGGAGGGCTGTGAAATCCTGTCTTCTGCACATGCCATGGAGGATTCACAAATCATCCCACCGTAGCTACAGCTGCCTACACAAGGCATGGACAGGACAAAGCCCGTTACAATTCCAGCATGGATAGGGAAGGGGTCCTGAGACCCCATCAATAGCTAAGGAACTACTTACTGATAGTTGGCTGTAAAGGGAGAGGTAGTCATTTATTTTTTATTTGAGATGT